TCTCTTTTTATGTCTCCGCCTGTTGTTGTGGGTATGGTCGTCAGGGTAAGGTTCTCTCTTTTTATGTCTCCGCATGTTGTTGGGGTTGGGGTCGTCAGAGTAAGGTTCTCTCTGTTTATGTCTCCTCCTGTTGTTGGGGGTAGGGTCTTCAGGGTAAGGTTCCCTCTGTTTATGTCTCCGCCTGTTGTTGGGGGTAGGGTCGTCAGGGTAGGGTTGTCCTTTTTATGTCTCCACCTGTTGTTGGGGATGGGGTTGTCAGGGTAATGTTCTTTCTGTTTATGTCTCCGCCTGTTGTTGGGGGTAAGGTCTTCAGGGTAAGGTTGTCTCTTTTTATGTCTCCGCCTGTTGTAGGGTTGTCCGTTTTGTTTTCTCCACCGATTTATTGTGGTGGGATTGTTGGATTTGTTTTGTCTAAACTGCTGTACTTTCTCGTTATGTTCGATATCTAAATCTTACAAAATGTTTCGTAATTATTGTGCGTTACATGGATATTTAAGAGTGTCATTACATTTACTTACATGTGTTGCCGACTGATTCAACAAACATTGAAGAAATCAATCTTGTAATGATTCACCGTTTACTTTTTTACAGGATTACAGACAGGTCAGACGTTCCTGTGTTGTTGAACGATCCTGTTATTGCAAAACTGGCCACAAAGTACAATAAAACCCCTGCTCAGGTAGATTATATTTTGCGCTTTGAATGCGGAATTATTGTCGAAAAAGCAATAATTGAAAAAAGTAATCATCATTCATTTCTGAGTGAAACACATGTAAATGTTATTGCATAGTAGAATTTACATTGAGTCCTAAATATTTCAGAAGCAAAAAAGAATGACATAAGCGTTTGAATTGTGCTATTCCGTCTTTGCATATTGCAGAGTTATCTTCTCTTGGGAGCAGGTATTGATTGTTACGTCATTAGTTTGTGCGAGAAAATTACGTCGTTTCTCAAACATTGATGACGTTACTCTCACAAACAAGTGACGTAACAATCAATACCTGCTCCCAAGAGAAGATAACTTTGCAATACGCAAAGACGGAATACAACCCCCAAATGGTATTTTTATGTATTGGGTTTTTTTCACAGGTCCTTTTACGGAATTTACTTCAGAGGAATACCATAGTCATTCCAAAAAGTGTGACACCAAGCAGAATTCAACAGAATGGAAACGTACGATGAACTTTACTTACTATCAGCTAACAAAATTCAGCAGCATTACGCAAAACAACATGATTTAAAGTTCACTTGTTCTGATAAATTTTATTATTTAAACATCAATGTTCGTCATGTATAAATATTCATAATTTACTGTTTATAATGAATCAGTGTAGTAAGATAATATGCTTTCAAAAACTAACATGATCATAAAGCTGCTATTAACATTGGATACATGTTAAATGTAGTTTTGACAGTCTGAATGACACTATGAACATACTTGTTATACACATCTATGAAATACTATTTATTGATTGAATATCGACATTGTGTTAATTATACTGCACATGAAATGAGAAGAGATAACAATTGATATAATTCAGTTTAATTATTATGATATTGCAATGTTTCCAGGTGTTCGATTTTCAACTATCACCAGAGGATATGACCGTCATTGCAGGAATAGACAACGGAGAAAGGCTGATACAATACCCAGCGTTAGTACATCTTAAACACGTTAAATGTGTTGTGTTAGACACAGCAGCAACTATAATATGTAGTTTATAAGTTTAAACGTTAGCAATCTTTAACCCAAGGACGAAACACATGAATAATGTACTTCTATGCTAAATAGAAACAAGTTGATTCTTTAGTGTCATCAAAATCTTAATTCTAACCCATAATTGATGACATTAAAGCAAAATACAAAAACAAAAAATTATATTCAACTTCACACTTTTAAATTATTCTATTCAAGCAAAAACATCAAAAGATATGACGTCACAATGTGATCTGATCAATCATAATTTAAATATTTACTTTTTCTTTCAGCATGGCAACCTTTTATGACTATCCATTCAACAGTCCTTTGTAGAGAGATGTTGATCTCTCAACAGTCTTGTGAAGAGATGTTTTGGTTTCTCAACTGCCTTGTATATAAATACTTTGACTTCTCAGCAGTCTTGTGTGAAAGGATTCCGGTTTCACAACCCAAGATGTGGATAGACAAAGAGCTTTCTAAAAACATTAAACTATCACTTCAGCTGATTTGAGAGAAATGTTGTCTTTGTGTAATTGTAATTGAACCCTTACAAAGTATAAAATGCAGCAGTTAGAAATATTTCGGTAAATCATAAATCTGGACGGGTACAATTTATTTTACCATTTATTACATTAACCAATAACGTCAATGCTTAATTTGTATCATTAACAATGCACAATGCATAAGCCTATGCTTTGTATTTATGTTACATTATATGTCTGCGTGAGCCTGCGTTTTGAGATTATGCTACATTATTTTATTATATATTTATCTTTAAAAAATGCACTTTTGACTTGATATAAGCAGTCTATCACTAAATATCAGCAACAGTACGCTATACATTAATCTCGCACTTACACATTAAACGACTAGAAATATAAGTAAACAAAGCAGCGATATATAAATTTAGTAAGCTGATGCAGACGTCCAAACTAGATAAACATTTGATTATCAGTGGTAGTAAGTGTCCAAGAATGAATCGCCCATGGCTAAAGTGTTCCAAAACATGAAGAAATTCAACGAAGGGAGAAATGTATATAAAAACCCTTCACAACGTTACAAAGTTAGAACATTTGACTAAAACATTTTCAAATAGGTATTTTATTTCAATTGTGCCGGATTAATTTCCATCTAAATTCAATTCTATGAATAAAAACTAGTGCATGAACGAACATGTAAAATGTTCAAATTCATAGTTCGACTTTGTTTGGATAGTAAGACATGTAACTCCTCACGCATTTATTCATAAATATTGTTTTGATAACGATATATCATGTAAACTTGCATTCCCAAATAAAATTTGGGTAAAGTTATGCATATGTAAACCATGTGTATTGTTACCAAATTACTGCAAACATCCTAGGACCGTGAAACTTAAAGGCATGCGCTATAACAAACTTTTAGACTTTTTGTCTGGCTTACATCCGGGATTCAAGCACTTCTTAACCCACCGGGAACAACTCGTTTTCCTCTTGTTAAATGTAGCACTCAATTTGAGTATATTTTCAATATAGTATGCATGACATAGCAACACAGTACTCCTCTATATACGGTTTAAAGATGCGTATGTACAATGAAAATCGGTTTATACAATTATGAAACAGTGGAGGTGGTCAGAGCCTGCCTGAACCCATCGAGGGTTGGCAAACTGACCAGCGACTGTGGCAAGGTGTTTCAAACTCTGAGGGCACTCGGGAAGAACGAGTGTTGGTATAATAGTGTTTAGCAGTGTGGTTGCAGGTATCGGATGCTATGACCTCTTGTAGCAGCACCTGATGGCATGAGGTATGGCTCTGCTGGAATGTTTACTAGGTGGTTAACAAGTTTGTACAGCAAGATGGTCTTAACTTTGGTTCTTCTTGACTGTAGGGGTTCCCATCCAAGATCAGTGAGCATGTTACTTTCGCTGCTTGTTTTGCGGTAGTCGTTGGATACAAATCTGACCCCTCCATACATTGGACCATCTCAAGTGAGTTTATGTTTCGCTTGGTGTTAGGTTCCCATGCAATTGAGGCGTATTCAACGATCGGTCTGACAAAAGCGTTGAGAGCATGTTCTTTTGCTAAAGGTGGGAATTGACCAATGTTCATTTTTTACGACAGACAGGGTATTGTTTGCTTTCTTAGTAACAACATCAGTGTGTATGTTCCATGATAGGTTTTTCGATATGTTAAGGCCTAAATAATTTGCAGGGTCTAAGTAATGTAAGGTATAACCGTGAATGAGGTAGTAATGATCCATTGTATTTCGCTTTTTAGTGACAGAGAGGACTTCACAATTGTTTGGATTCAACTGCATTTGCCATGTTTGTTCTCAATTGATGGGGTTGTCAAGGAGTGACGCATCATCTTTAAGTCTTATTTTCCGGTACATAACGCAGTCGCATTACACACATCTATAAAGTATAACAAAAGTTGTCTAGCCTTGTTTCACATGAATATATATTGCACACATCAATAAAGTATTACAAAAGTTGTCTAGCGTTGTGTTAAATATATATTGCGCACGTTCCATAAAGTATTACAGAAATTGTGTAGCCTTTTGTTAAATATATATTAAACACACTCATGAAGTATTACAGAAGTTGTCTAGCCTTGTGTTAAATATATATTAAACACACTCATAAAGTATTACAGAAATTGTCTAGACTTTTGTTAAATATATATTACACACATCTATAAAGTATTACAGAAAGTGTCTAGCCTTTTGTTAAATATATATTAAACACACTCATAAAGTATTACAGAAATTGTCTAGCCTTGTGTTAAATATATATTACACACATCCATAAAGTATTACAGAAATTGTCTTGCCTTGAGTCAAATATGTAGTACACAGATCCATAAAGTATTACAGAAAGTGTCTAGCCTTGTGTTAAATCTATATTACACACATCCATAAAGTATTACAGAAATTGTCTTGCCTTGAGTCAAATATGTAGTACACAGATCCATAAAGTATTACAGAAAGTGTCTAGCCTTGCGTTAAATATATATTACACACATCCATAAAGTATTACAGAAATTGTCTTGCCTTGAGTTAAATATGTATTACACACATCCATAAAGTATTACAGAAAGTGTCTAGCCTTGTGTTAAATATATATTACACACATCCATAAAGTATTACAGAAATTGTCTAGCCTTGTGTGAAATATATATTACACACATCCATAAAGTATTACAGAAATTGTCTGGCCTTTTGTTAAATATATATTACACACATCCATAAAGTATTACAGAAATTGTCTGGTGTGTTATTTACACACATTCCCAATTATGTAGTTAACGACAAAGGATTTCAAGGTACACACATGTATACGTCTGGACAGCTAAACTTACTAGATTCTTCTTTTCAAAGGCGGTGTACACCAGCGGTCACGTGATAGGTTCACAATTATAGGTGTACATGTTATCACTGAATGAATGTTAAAGTGCAGAATCAATGGGGAAATCCTGACAGATCTAAATGCAGCAGTAATACAGATTAAAAAACATGCAATCAGTAACTAGATGACGAAGAACGGTATTTCCATTTCTGTGTATGTCTTTTAAATAATAAGATATATAATACGTAGGAAAACAGAAATAAATTTAATAAATCAATAGAATATCCCACCTGGAAAAACTGTCAACTGCTGTTTACGATCCATAGAACACATAAGCAGACTGTGAAAAGAATAGTATCGTCTTATGGAAAACAAGAAATCTGGAAACGCTCACGATATGGAAATCACAGCACGTTACGCACTTCAAACATGAAAGGACGTAACGTAACATTACTACCACAATTGGTACAATTTTGACAGTTATTCAGTGATATTTAAACATCCAGATCTTGCATCTGGAATGTTACTTGATTCTCGACAAAGACTATCCATGGTGGTATTTTTTCAGGAAAAAATGATTTTAAGTAATTTGTTTTTAGGAATAGAACGCTTTTCGCAGTGTTTCGTCCGTTTTTCGGTCATTATAATTAAGAACACAAATTGGTACTCCATATCACAGCTACACTGTAGGATATGAAAGAGCTATGGTGGGTTGCTATGCCTATTTCTCCAAAGATGTGTCCACGAGTGCGCACGTGCCACCGTGTACTGTCATGACGCGTCCTCAGGTATTTTAATACAGGTAGCTCTATCGGAATCCTGTGTCTAAGAATATATTATTGTAAACAGCCGAATTCAAGGCCATGGCTATTGATACATGCATTTCACGATAAACACTCAAAATAATGCTTATTTCTATGAATTTAGATCGTATAACCATTACCAAAGGGATTTAATGTTTATTACTACTGCCTGCGTCATGCCGTTACCTTTCTTACAAAATATACATCTTGATTTCGAATAGCATATCTAACACCTGAAATGTGATCCCTACTTTGTGCTACAGTCTTCCTACATTTCAAACAAATGAGACTCTCCTCAACGATGAATTTCCCCTTATTTTCAGTAATATATTTGCGATAATAACAGTTCTTAATTTTTTGCTTGGCCTTTTTTTTATTCTGACGCAACAATCCCACATTGTTTTGTATGATGCTGGGTTTAAATAATATATTTAATTACCAGTGCCGATAGGAGGGTAAAGCAAATCATAAATATCATTTAAAATGATGTATTATCTACAAAGCGTAGCTGTACTGTACACGTGTACAGTGAGTTATTGACATACATTGTTATTCCATTTGATTTAAACATATTTTATTGTAATTTATGTACAATGAGAGTTGGGCAAAAGTTATACAGCTTATACTAAGCCCTTTCCCTACAATATAAATATATTCTTTTAGTCAGTACATTTTCCCTTTCCAGTAAGAGGGAGGGGGGGGGGGGGGGGGAAGAAGCTTACTTTTGAACTAGATTTTTTACTGATATGTGTAAAAGTGCATCTCTGACCACGGGACTGCTCTTTCTCAATGCAAACGGAACTAGTGATAATCTATTCACTATTCGTTCACTGTCTGCTGTTCTAATGTTCATCACACCCCGTTGTATAAATCTTTCTCCTGTGCATTCGTCGCTTGCTGGTATTTTCGTCTCCACTAGTCCGTTTGCACACAGAAACACCAGACACATGGTATAGTTTCATTTTCGCATATTAAATGATCATAAAAAGAATGTTACACAGGTTAAATATATTATTGTATTATAGAGTCAGCTGGAAAAAAATACTTAGTATAAGGTTAGTCTAATTTGTGAACCTGTTGTGAGTGCAAGAGATAATATTCAAAATCTGTGTGTATTGCTGCGTCTGTCTTACTACTAGTTCATTATCTTGCTGGGACAATTCATTACTACCATATTTCGTCTTTGCGTATTGCAGAGCTACCTTCTCTTGTGAGCAGGTATTGATTGTTACGTCATTGATTTGTGTGAGAAAATTACGTCGTTTTCTCAAAAATTGATGACGTTGCTCTCACAAACAAATGACGTAACAATCAATACCTGCTCACAAAGGAAGTTAACTCTGCAATACGCAAACACGGAATAACACTAGCTGCAAGTCAAGTATAGGATGAAATCCTTCAATTCACGGAAGAGTTTAACTCTCTGGTCCGCAGTTTTTACAGACAAAAAGAAGTGGTATGTATCTTCTACAGAATGTCCAAACTGACAATCCTGAAAATGAATTAAATTGGCATGAAATAGATGATTATTTAGGGTACTAGAACGATTTCGTAATCTAGAATATATCATATTTCTTTTGCTGTCGCCGATGAGGTAATAATTTGGAACGTGAATTTAAAAACTTTGTACGAAACGCTGCGTCTAATATCAAGGTCTAAATTGTTCCCGAGTCGGATTGTGGACGGGGAAGAAAAGACATAATTGTTAGTTGTAGTCTTGAATTAGGTATACAATAGTCCTCAGCATTACGGAGGTTATAACGGGATTTTTCTGACACTAAAGGGGATAGTAGAGAGACGAGATAGTACGGTGCAAGCTTATTTTGACTTTGTAAAAAAAATAGTTGTAATTTTCTTCTTGATCATCTCTCAGATCAAGTTTCTAAACCACTTTCAATGTACAAAGATTCTCTACTTCCGTAAGAAGGTAACCCAGTAGTGTACCCTTGCAGCCTCTAGCTGAAGTTTTTCTATTTTGTCTGCAGCAGCGAGAGTACATCTAAAAGAGGGAGAATGTATGTTCTATTTAATATATATTACAATTTACAAAGAACGCTTATTTGCTTAGATGCTTTCTGGCATATATTCTCCACATGAGAGCTCCATTTACAGCTTTTCATCTAATCACATAATTCCATAGCAGATAAATCAATAGGTATATGTTATTGAAATTAAATAAAATGTTCCATCGATTAGAAAATATTGTATTACCTAATTCAGGGAAAAGAGCACATGCCTAAATATTAAAAACAAGAGCCCCATAGGGCCTGTATCGCTCACCTGGATATCTAAGCAATCATGGCAAATTATTCTCCAAATGAGATCCAAGGGAATATGCCAGACACTAAGGCAAATCCTTGTAGTATATCTGTATTTGATTTTTTATGCCCAGCAATTTTATGTATGGTTATGGGGTGGGGATCTCAACTGGTTCCAAGCTGTGACTCAGAAACTAGGTCCCTATGGTTGTGGCCAGACCCCCGGATCAATTATAATAACATGACTGCATTTGTCTCTTTTTGTCCAGCATTTGTATATATAGTTTTGGGCTGGGGATCTCAACCGTTTCAAAGTTATGACCCAGGGGTTATGTCTGCAAAAGTGGGGCAGACCCTGGGTCAATTCTAATATCGTGACTTCATTCGTCTCTTTATGCCCACCAATTGTATATATAGTTTTTGGGTGGGGATCTTTACCGTTTCAAAGTTATGACCCATGGGTTAAGTCTCCAATGGTAGGGCCAGACCCTAGCCATCCTGGAAGCAAATGTGCATTCCTCTCTTTAAACTCAGCAATTGTATATATGGTTATATGGTGGGGATCTCAACCATTTCCAAGTAATATATTTTTTTCCCCACCCCTTAGCCCGGGGGGTCAGCCCCACCATTTGTACAATTTTGAATCCCTGCCTCCCATGAATGCTTCCGACCAAATATGATCAATATCCATGGTATAGTTCTACGGAAGAAGTCGTTTATAGCAATTTAGCCAAATTGCCCCCTTTTGGCCCAGCCCACAGCCCCCTGGGGGGGTTAGCCCCACCATTTGTACACTTTTGAATCCCCACCCCCTAGGGATGCTTCCAGTCATATATGGTTGATATCTATCTCTTAGTTCCAGAGAAGAAGTCGCTTAAAGTAATATAGCTAAATAACCCTTTTTGGCCCCGCCCCTTAGCCGCCACGGGGGTCGGCCACACCATTTGTACAATTTTGAATCCACACCACCTAGGGATGCTTCCAGTCAAATATGGTTGATATCCATCACTTAGTTCCAGAGGAGATGACGCTTAAAGCAATATAGCTAAATTGCCCCCTTCTTGCCCCGCCCCTCAGCCCCTTGGGGGTCAGCCCCACCATTTGTACAATTTTGAATCCCCACCACCTAGGGATGCTTCCATTCAAATTTAGTTAAATTCCAATCAGAGGTTAAGAAGAAGAAGAAGAAGTCGTTTAAAGAAATTGTTGACGGACGGACGACGGATGGATGGACGACGGACGCCACGGCATAAGTTCGGACCCGGTGAGCTAAAAATGTACATGTACGACGTGTTTCTGGTTTTCTGACATGTTTACTTTGAAGTTATCGTATATATTCTTAAAATGTCGCTGTAAACAAAAATATCTGATGGAAATGTTCATGATTTCTCTAGATCTATATTGTTATACCATTACAGGAAAATACACAACATGAATTTTAAAGTATTATTCCAGGGACTTACATAGCAAAATAATCTTATTCCGCGATTATTCGAACCGTTTTCCGACCGTGTTCCCATTCGGCCGGGTAGCGTATACATTGTACGTATCCGTACTACATGTACATTGTACCAATAATTGTAGTAGCGCGTAACGTTACATAAAATAAAATAGCCCGTAGGTCATAATATTTTTTTATATATCTAAATATAGCAAAAAAATAATTAAAACATGCAATCAGTAATTAATTGGATGTCGAAGTACGGTATTTCCCTTTCTGTGTATGCCTTCTGAATATTAAAAAAGGTACATTGGAATGCCGAAATAAATTTGATCAATCGTTAAAATACCCCTTCCTGGAGAAAGTGGCAATTGCTGTTTACGATCCATAGGACATATCAGCAGACTGCAAACATAGTAATAACGTTTTATAGAAAACAACAAACCTGGAAAAAAAATAAACAAAAAACATGATAGACTATTAAGTCTTTTAATCTTTGTTTTCTTGTCCATATCAAAAACACTTTAAAATTATCAGTCATTCACGTCTGGCTTATATTCTTGTGATTTTAATGATTTTACAAAAGTCCCTCATGTAATTGTTGGTATTTATTGTTCTCCTCCTGCTTTACATACTTCTGTGTCTTTCTTGACATACGTAATGGTAGATCGATTTTCAAAATCCCCCTATGTCCCTCACTCTCACCACTCGGTTGTAAGGCGCATGCGTAAATCACGTAGAAACCAAAAAGATCCGGTGATTTGCTTAATATTACAGATTGTGTCATATACAAAAAACGAAGTGATTTTGAATATCTTTTAAACCTCTTTTTGCTATAAAACAAACAACCATAATTATTAAAATCTGCAACAGTACTTTTCGTTTGTTCAATATGTTTGTTAGATACATTTCGCATTCCCTATTATATTTGCGGTTCGCTTTTCATACCGATTCTATATTTAGCATACCTGTTATTCTGTCGTTGAGGAAGCTTATAATTTCAGCAGCAAAGATGTCGAGATCAAAACCAAAGGCTAAGATGGTTGAGGACTTAATGAAGAAAACCAAATGTAAGTTAAATGATAAATACCTGTTTAACCTGCTAATCTCGAACAGCAATTATTATTCCAGTTCAGTTAACTTATATGATACATTCATCATTCAAAATTGAGAAAGATGCGACCCCCCCCCCCCCCACACACACACACACACTCTCTCTTATCATTTCCAGTCAACGACCATGGACAATTCTTATCAGCATTTCCCGTGCGACACAATAATAGTCAACTTTTTTCAATTTTAAAACGGAAAATAAATGATCTTATTGCAAACCCTAGCTTTTTGTCTAATTATAGCTTTTAATCAATCAGTTGATGTTTAAACATTTAAATTGACTAGTTGGTGCTGTCGTCTTCATCTCTGGTTGATGTTATCCATCAACAATGGTGGTAATTGACATCGGAGGGAAGTGCTGAAATTCTTGAGTAGTTATAAACTGTGAGTTTTCATATTTGTGTAGCAGAACTGGACTGGGTCGAGGACCATGCAGGTAGCTGTAGATCTAGAGCATCCATCTAGAGTTTGTGTCCCAGGTTTGAGCTCCAATCTGGTCGTTACATTTTCTCTTTCTCCTGTTACAAAATTTACGAGCATGCCAACCCTTGTTGCAAGCATTGAGAGCTACCTGAGGAAGGGGATATACCCAGACTTGGGTTGTAAATAGTGGTGTCTTCGGGAGCGAAGACTTATAAAAAGGAGGGAGGAATGTAAGGAAGCTTATAGCAGAACTGGACTAGGTAGATCGTCAGCAACCAGGTAGCTCGATTGGTAGGGCAGCCGTCTACAGTTGGGATGGTCCCGGGTTTTGAAACCTAGTCTGGCCTTTACATTTTCTCTTTCTCGTGTTACAAATTGGCGAGCTTAAAACCCTTGTTTAAAGCACTTGGTGAATGGTAGTTTGGTGTACATGCCAGATCTCACTGTGTGAGACAAAATATCACGGATTTTCATCGCCGATAAAGTCCCATGACGTGGGATGTGTAATTACGAAATGTCATTAAAACCACACGTTTTTTAATTATTGATCGGTGAACCATTCTCCTGTAGTTATTTACTCAAAGCTTTACGAGATTTAACATTGTTTTCAGGGATAAATCACGAGAGCTCTCAAGTAGCTGTAATGTGATCAATTGAATCAACACATGAATTAGTGAAAATATATAATATTTATAAAAATATTGGTAAAATGAAGTGGTATTAAAAACGACATATACATGTTTATGAAAATTGGTCGTTGGTTGTAAAAGTGATCAAAAATCTAAATGAAGGCATTCTCTTTATGCCCTCTTGTGTCCTTAATGCTGATTGGCTTGTATATTGTTTTCCTGAAATATGTAAAATTCCTTCACCCATGTACACTATTACCATCATCAATAGGACGTAAAACACAAATAAACCATGTACAATATATAATGCCAGATTAATGGATGGAATTATATTCATGTACTCCGTGTACACATCAATACAATTGTCAAAATTATTGGCCTAGCTCTGACACCCCTGATACATCTGTCACTTTATATGTTTCAGATAAGAAAGATGTAGTGGAGTGTTTGCTGAAGATGTTCAGGGTGTATGACACAAAACTTAAGAATATTGAAAAGTTTCGAGTGGAGAAATCCAAGTTCCGATATATGCTGCAGGCTGTGTTCTGTTTAACAGACGATATCTTAATGGATAGAGGTAAGAAATCATTACTTTAAGTACATCGAGATTTATACTGCAGTGTTTCCTGTTACATGTAACTCACAAATCTGTTTCCAACCTGATTCAGGCTTATATTTTCCCACAATAGACTGATGACTAATAAAAAATATAATAAGTTATGAAGAGGACTTTGATATTCAAACAAGCGAAAACCATCAAATAAAAAAATGTGAGCAAAAAAATAACTGGAGATTACCAAATCAAGCATTTTGACACAGAATCTACTTATTTATGTATTTGTTTTCTGTCATTAAATCTGGAACAAATATCACCTGGGGTGTACAGTGTCACTCTAGCCAAACAGTTTGGTCTACTAGTAGACTTTACCTCGGAGAACTTTTAAAAACATTTAAAAAAAATACTGAAATAATGACAAGTCTGGGTAAGAGAAATTTAAAAAAAAATCTGCCCAAGTTCGCCAGTACTCTTAAATGTGAAATTGTACACATGTAATCAAATTGTGTTAAATTTCCTCGTTGAAATTTTCATCTGGGAAGTTTTTTCCCAAATTCGATGCAAACATCTTCACAAAACATGCACATGTATGCATAGAAATTCTTTTTATGTTTTTTTTTATTTTTGTTAGTCTCACAAAGTAAAATATTTCTTCCTTATCTACGTGTTGTTGATTGATAATGCATTATAATGTACTTATATCTACAATAACATTTATTCCTTATGATTAGGAGGCACGGTAGTCTAGTGGTAGGACGCCGGGCTCGTGACCGAAGGGTTGCGAGTTCGACTCTCGTCACGGAACTGTGTTGTATCTTTGGGCAAGATACTTTACTCTGCTTGTTCCAGTCTACTCAGCTGTAAATGAGTACATGGTTGGGTAGTGCTGGAATTGTAGAATGCTAGCTGTGAGCGCTGAAATGGCAGCACCGGCTGTATGCTCCCGAGGGAGAAAGATATTGGCTGGTTGCAAAGGCCCTATATAACCACCGATAATAATTTGTGAACTGCTTTGAGACGATCTATGAACTAGGTTGTGATAAAGAGGTATATAAGAACCTCAAATTATTATTATTAATTATCATTAGTATTATTAGGGCTGTCACAATATATCAGTGAAAACAGATATATCGTAATACACGGGTATATTGTATCGTACCAAAATACAGAGATGAAATATTGCTGTATCGCAATATTTTTATGTTTCTGCTTGGTGTTTTAACTTTGCAAATTACTGCAAATTCTAACAGATATGCCAATAAGCATAAAACAAGCTTTTAATAGTTATAAATTTTGTAATTGATGGTTGGTTTGACAAAAATCTTAAATCTATGTAATCCATATTATATATGATTAAGTTTGATAACATTCTGCCAACAACTTATTATAAAATTCATGAGCACATCCTTCCTATGTCAATATATCAGGATATGTATCACAAAATATTTATTCTGTTTTGCAATATATTGTGATACACTCTTGGCATATTGCGACACCCCTACTTATGATGACTCCAAAATGCAGTACAAGTGTGAGATTCTGATGTCAGACACTTGGATAGGCCAAAGTATTTCAGATAAATAAAACACTATTAGTAGATTTTCAATTGATTGTTTTTCAGTGTTTAGAGCTTTTGACACTGACAGTGATGGAAGCATTTGTGAAGAGGAGTGGGTTATCGGATTTTCTGTTTTCTTGTCCAAAGATGTGGATGACAGGAAAACGAAATGTAAGTAATTCTGTCTTTGCGTATTGCAGAGTTATCTTCTCTTGGGAGCAGGTATTGATTGTTACGTCATTGGTTTGTGTGAGAAAATTAAGTCATTTTCTCAAAAATTGATGACATTACTCTCACAAACAAGTGACGTAACAATCAATACCTGCTCCCAAGAGAAGATAACTCTGCAATACGCTAAGACGGAATTCCCTTCTTTGAGGGAACATGAAGTAAAACCAATCTCTTTGATAAAAGAATGATCTAACTTATTTGATATGCTGCATTTCTGGCCAGGGGAATTCAAAGTTCAATGTGACCCTCTATTTTTTATATTTTTTTCTTTCATCTGTTTAAAATAATTGAGAACTTTGTTGTGAGGTTGTAAATTAATTTATGATGTTTTTAATTACACAATAAATCTCCGGCATACACCCAGGCATATTATACACATAGGGAAATGTTAGCCAGGTGGCATTGGACTAGTAGTTATAGTGCCCAATAAGGCAGCTCCTGTAAATTCCTCAAACTGATTGATTAATATATAACATATATAATAATTGTATTAATTGTATAAATTGTATACCTATGTACTGTAAAGCACTTTAGAGTGGCTTAATCTAGCTAGATAGGGCGCTATATCGAATGTTGTATATTATTATTATAACTGTGGTGATGATGATGCAAGCCTATGAACAGTAGCCACCAAGCTTCTGTGTTCTTATGTTTAAACAATGTGATACTATCTGTATATATATATATTATACTTAATATGATGTTTTTTATTCCATCAACAGTTGTTTTTCGTGCCTATGACTTGAAAGATGAAGGATACATCACTAGAGAAGCCATGTTTTATTTCTTAAAGAACTGTCTTGTCAAGGTAAGACCAGTTAAAAAGCCAAGGTAAGACCTAATAAAAATACACTCAATTACAATAGGAAAAGAGCTTAATTACAATAGGAAAAGACCTTAATTACAATAGGAAAAGACCTTAATTTAAAAAAAAAAATCTGTATGGTAATAAATTAAAACTCAAACAACCAGTTGGGAATAGACATATGTTTTGCTCAAAATATTCATACATTTTTACAGATGATATTAGTTAATTTGGAAACAAATATATAGTTTCAGAATGACCAAATGGAGTGCAGTATATTTTTGTAAGGTTTATGCATATTTAACAAGGGGGAAAAAAACAAAAAAACTTTGCACCGCCCTTTTTACGTGTTCAGGATTTCTCTGTCATTTCAATATTACCCCAAGGGTATAATTTCTCTATCACCCCTGATAAAGCCATACATGTATGTAAGGGGGCCTCTGATAAAGCCAAACATGTGTGTAAGGGGGCCTCTGACAAAGTCATACATGTATGTAAGGGGGCCTCGGATAAAGACATACATGTATGTAAGGGGGCCTCTGATAAAGTCATACATGTATGTAAGGGGGCCTCTGATAAAGCCATACATGTATGTAAGGGGGCCTCTGATAAAGCCATACATGTATGTAAGGGGGCCTCTGATAAAGCCATGCATGTATGTAAGGGGGCCTCTGATAAAGCCATGCATGTAAGTAAGGGGGCCTCTGATAAAGCCATGCATGTATGTAAGGGGGCCTCTGATAAAGCCAAACATGTATGTAAGGGGGCCTCTGATAAAACCATGCATGTATGTAAGGGGGCCTCTGATAAAGCCATGCATGTATGTAAGGGGGCCTCTGATAAAGCCATGCATGTATGTAAGGGGGCCTCTGATAAAGCCATGCATGTATGTAAGGGGGCCTCTGATAAAGCCATGCATGTATGTAAGGGGGCCTCTGATAAAGCCATGCATGTATGTAAGGGGGCCTCTGATAAAGCCAAACATGTATGTAAGGGGGCCTCTGATAAAGCCATGCATGTAAGTAAGGGGGCCTCTGATAAAGCCAAACATGTAAGTAAGGGGGCCTCTGATAAAGCCATGCATGTATGTAAGGGGGCCTCTGATAAAGCCATGCATGTATGTAAGGGGGCCTCTGATAAAGCCATGCATGTATGTAAGGGGGCCTCTGATAAAGCCATGCATGTATGTAAGGGGGCCTCTGATAAAGCCATGCATGTATGTAAGGGGGCCTCTGATAAAGCCATGCATGTATGTAAGGGGGCCTCTGATAAAGCCATGCATGTATGTAAGGGGGCCTCTGATAAAGCCATGCATGTATGTAAGGGGGCCTCTGATAAAGCCATGCATGTATGTAAGGGGGCCTCTGATAAAGCCATGCATGTATGTAAGGGGGCCTCTGATAAAGCCATGCATGTATGTAAGGGGGCCTCTGATAAAGCCATGCATGTATGTAAGGGGGCCTCTGATAAAGCCATGCATGTATGTAAGGGGGCCTCTGATAAAGCCATGCATGTATGTAAGGGGGCCTCTGATAAAGCCAAACATGTATGTAAGGGGGCCTCTGATAAAGCCATGCATGTATGTAAGGGGGCCTCTGATAAAGCCATGCATGTATGTAAGGGGGCCTCTGATAAAGCCATGCATGTATGTAAGGGGGCCTCTGATAAAGCCATGCATGTATGTAAGGGGGCCTCTGATAAAGCCATGCATGTATGTAAGGGGGCCTCTGATAAAGCCATGCATGTATGTAAGGGGGCCTCTGATAAAGCCATGCATGTATGTAAGGGGGCCTCTGATAAAGCCATGCATGTATGTAAGGGGGCCTCTGATAAAGCCATGCATGTATGTAAGGGGGCCTCTGATAAAGCCATGCATGTATGTAAGGGGGCCTCTGATAAAGCCATGCATGTATGTAAGGGGGCCTCTGATAAAGCCATGCATGTATGTAAGGGGGCCTCTGATAAAGCCATGCATGTATGTAAGGGGGCCTCTGATAAAGCCATGCATGTATGTAAGGGGGCCTCTGATAAAGCCATGCATGTATGTAAGGGGGCCTCTGATAAAGCCATGCATGTATGTAAGGGGGCCTCTGATAAAGCCATGCATGTATGTAAGGGGGCCTCTGATAAAGCCATGCATGTATGTAAGGGGGCCTCTGATAAAGCCATGCATGTATGTAAGGGGGCCTCTGATAAAGCCATGCATGTATGTAAGGGGGCCTCTGATAAAGCCATGCATGTATGTAAGGGGGCCTCTGATAAAGCCATGCATGTATGTAAGGGGGCCTCTGATAAAGCCATGCATGTATGTAAGGGGGCCTCTGATAAAGCCATGCATGTATGTAAGGGGGCCTCTGATAAAGCCATGCATGTATGTAAGGGGGCCTCTGATAAAGCCATGCATGTATGTAAGGGGGCCTCTGATAAAGCCATGCATGTAAGTAAGGGGACCTCTGATAAAGCCAAACATGTATGTAAGGGGGCCTCTGATAAAGCCATACATGTATGTAAGGGGGCCTCTGATAAAGCCATGCATGTATGTAAGGGGGCCTCTGATAATGCCATGCATGTATGTAAGGGGGCCTCTGATAAAGCCATGCATGTATGTAAGGGGGCCTCTGATAAAGCCATGCATGTAAGTAAGGGGACCTCTGATAAAGCCAAACATGTATGTAAGGGGGCCTCTGATAAAGCCATGCATGTATGTAAGGGGACCTCTGATAAAGCCATGCATGTATATTTTGTTTGGTTATAATGTCAGGTAAAATCATACATGTATACATGTATGTTTGTAGGATTTTAGATAATCACCTGTGTGTGTATGTCTGAACATTAATGTATGAATAGATGACTTCATATAAAGATATACTGATATGTGTGTGCAACCAAAATTGCTAGTCTGTATTTGCTGTTGCAGACACCTACAGAGGAGGATCCAGATGAGGGACCCAAAGAGTTGGTGGAAATTCTTCTAAAGATACTGGTATGTAACTAACCATAACATCTTCTCATCTGCCCTCTGTCTATTGGTTCAGGATGCAGAATGTACAAATTATAGGTAGTCTGTTAAGGGCGAGAGAGGGATTGGTGTCTACAGGTGATGCTGACACTTATAGTGAATACTTTAATTTGGGTACTTCTTGCTGAAATGATAAAACCTGAACACTGTATCCTGACCTACCTACCAGTAACATTATACTGACAATTTGCTAAAACTCCTTACAGTTACTTTATTTAAGGATTAACTTGAATATATTTTTCATGTTATGAAGCTATAACACAAAAAAACGGAGTGTACTCTAGATAAACCGCGAAGCGATTTATGATGAGAGTACACTCCGTTTTTTTGTGTTATAGCTCCATAACATGAAAAATATATTCAAGTTAATCCTTATAATTTAATCTATTATACACAATCCCTGTGGAAATCCACTTTTATTGATGGATTTTTTTCTCTCAAAAAATATTGCGCTGCTGTATCAGCCAATCAAAAGCGACGTTACAAACGGCGAGGTCATTTTTTTACGTTATGGGCTGATAACATAAATTTTTAAGCCAATGAAAATGCTTGTTACAAGCAAGATTAAATTATTAATGCTGAACATTAGTCAAAGGGCAGTAAGTACCATTTACTTATAATTAAATGATTTTTGTTTGTCTCCATCAGAAATATAATTCAATGATTTTTGTTTGTCTCCATCAGAGAAATAATTCAATGTTTTTTGTTTTTCTCCATCAGAGAAATAATTCAATGATTTTTGTTTGTCTCCATCAGAGAAATAATCCAATGATTTTTGTTTGTCTACATCAGAGAAACAATGACCAAAAGAGAGGTCTAAGAAAAACAAAATTTTGAAATTAATAAATGTATATATACATTGTTTACTGCTTTATCACAACCAAGTTCGTAGGTCATCTAAAAGCAGTTCACAAATTAGTATTTGCCTTTGCAACCAGCCATGGCAATATAATATCTTTCTCTACTCCCTGGGTAGCATACAGCCGGTGCTGCCATCTCGGCGCTCATAGCTAGCATTCAACAATTCTAGCACTTCCCAACCACATATTCATTTACAGCTGAGTAAACCAGAACAAGCGGAGTAAAAAATCTTACTCAAAGATGCAACACAGTGCCGTAACTTGAACCCTCAACCCTTCGGTCACGAGCCCGGCGTCCTACCACTAGACTACCGTGCCTCCTAATCATAAGGAATAAATGTTATTGTATATATAAGTACATTATAATGCATTATCAATCAACAACACAGAGATAAGGAAGAAATATTTTACTTTGCGAGACTAACAAAAATTAAAAAAACATAAAAAGAAATTCTATGCAACCACGTACTCATTTACAGCTGAGTAGACCAGAACAAGCGCAGTAAAGTATTTTGCTCAAAGATGCAACACAGTGCCGTAACTCGAACCCGCAACCCTTCGGTCACGAGCCTGGCGTCCTACCAGTAGACTACCATGCATCTATAAGTTCCATGCTCTATCTAAAGCTTTACCTACCACACCCTCTTCCAAGATACATCTGTATTAATATCTGAAACAGCCTTAAATTCAAGATTAATCTTGTTCATAGGGCTGCAATGATCAGAAATAATGCCAGTTGGATAGCCGAGTGAATTTATACAAACCAAAACCGTGTATAACTGCTTATTTGTGCCATGAACTACAGGAACCGGTGATAAACCTTCAATTTAATTTCCTGGATCCATTTCAACTGTATACTGCTAAAGACAATGTGTCATACAATGTTGTATTAAAGTTTTCCAGAAATTCTTTGAGTCCTATTAAAATTCTATGAGTATACCTAGGACCATATGGGGCTCATGTAGATTTATCACTGAGGAGCTAATGGTCCTTTGTTTTGATGAAAACATGGTAACTTAATTCACTTAATGTTTAAACAAATGTAACTCAACTGCATTTTAAATGTAGTTGTAAAACGTTGTAGGGTCTCATAATCTTTATGAACTAGTTTCTTATCACTACACATGCACTCAATTATACTAATCCCGATTTGCTCACCAGAGAGTACTTGTTCCCAAACCGCAACCGGGTACTTGGTTACCCATTCCAGCCCTACTTGAGTTGTTAATTCAACAAACAAAAAAGGAAATTTTGTTATTTTTTAGTCCCCCACCGGTTCCCGGGGGTGGGGGTGGGGGGGTACTTTAGATTTGCACTCCGTCCGTCTGTCCGTCAGTTCGTCCTTCCCTACCAGAAGTTTGTCCAGGAAATATCTTCTATACTTTTTTCACCTGGAGAAACCAGATTTGGTGTACAAGGACATCTTGGGATGGTGGAGTGCAGAGTGTAAGAAGAAGGTCACTTTGACCATACACTTGACCTTTGACCTTAATATAGAAAAAAATACCGATGGGGGAATATGGATTGCCTGGCAATACTTATTACTTTGCTTTGTTTTCTTCTTTCTGTTGTTGATTTGGCAAGCTGTTGAAATAAGTACTAAAATTACCTAATTATCTAATCACCTGCTTGTTACATACAATTTCTGATCAATATGACAAGACCATTTGTCATACTATTTTTGTGGTGCTAGATAAGAATAAACATAGCAATGATATCTCTATTTCAATTTACAGGATCTCGACAGGGACGGGAGGGTATCGTATGATGAGTTCGCAACGGGTGTGAAAGAGGACCCCATGCTTCTAGAGTCCCTCGGGCGCTGTTTACCTGAACAACAGGTAGGTTCATTGCACATTTTGTATTTGCACCAGCCCTAGTCAGCCTTGAGGTCAAAAATGGTACTTGCCAGCACCTGTCGACCCCAATATGCTGCTACTCTTGAGTCCTGTTCCTGACAGTGTGCACAGGTGTTTGAAATTCTGACTGTAAATTGAGATAAAAATCATATAAAAAAATAAGGGTAATACTATAAAAAACTAGTAATACCCTTATTTTTAGGTCACCTGAGCTTTAGTTTGGAAAACTATTTCAAACTTAAAGTCAAGTTCTGCTAGGCCGATTGAACTGAAACTTTGTAGGAATGATCGACTCATGGTCCTGACAAAGGCTCGTTATTTTTCGGGTCAATCAGAAATCCAATATGGCCACCACGGCCGTCATTTTGAAAAACTATTTCAAACTTAAAGTCAAATTCTACTTGGCCGATTGAACTGAAACTTTGTAGGAATGATCGACTCATGGTCCTGACAAAGTTTTGTTATTTTTTCGGGTCGATCAGAAATACAATTCGGCTGCCATGGCCGCTATTTTGAAAATACCTATTTCAAACTTAAAAACAAGTTCTAATAGGCCGCTCTAACTGAAAATCGATCTAGGAAGGATCAGCTCATGGTCCTGACAAACTTAAGTTAACGTTATACTTAACAATGTTTTACTCAAATTGGTACATATTTCAACAACAAAAATAAATACTGTAGGACTCAGGTGACCGCTAAGGCCCATGGGCCTCTTGTTTTTGTATGATTTTTATTTCAACTTATAGACAGAATTTCAAACACCTTTGCAGAGTGCTGCCATGCTTGGGTCCTAAAATATTCCTGATATCAGGGGTTGTGTGTAAGTTGAACCAAACCACTGGGACAATAGATATTTGTATAAGTAATATTTTGTCAGGCTTATCGACCCAAGATTATTGACAGTCTGTGTGTCAGTTCCTTATTGATACCATGATTTCTGTGTTTTTCAGCACCCAAATTGTCAAATATTTTACATATGAATTAATGTATGTAATATGATCTATTGTAATATCAAGCAGCATAATGTATTAGTATCATATTTAGCCTACCACTTTAGTACATTGTAATTAATGAAAGTTTGTATCAAAACAAATAATTTGCTTTAAAATTATCTGCCTAATCTTGATTTTCAATTTCATATTTTTTTTTTATTTTTTTTTTGCAGTATGTTGATCAGTTTTACTCTTTTCTTTCTGGAGATAAGACACCTTTGACAAATTCCAGACAGGTAAACAACTGACCTACTCCAGAACCACTACAGATGTACCAACCTGTTTCTGACTGAAGGACTCGGGATAACCACAGTTTCAATAATTTTTTAACTTAAGGCAACTCCATCAGTTTCTATAATTTTGGTATAGAAAAGCATTATTGGAGACTTTTTTAGTAATGATGTTATAAGCTGTTGAATAAGCAAATATATTCGTGTGATTTTGAACATAGACTTCTTCTTCTAGAATTGAAATATGAGATTTTGAGGTTACTTAAGATTATTGTAAACAGGTACTTTAGCAGTCAAAGGTTATTATGCAATGTATTTGGAGAAGAGTTAGTCTATTGCAAAAGCTGAAATATGATTACCACTGAAGCAAGTGTGTTTACAGAAATTTTAAACTGTAATTCAAGTCACGCAGTCCGTGATTTAGTGATGATATTGGTGCCTTTTCATTTCTTATAGATGTATATTATAACCAAACTTAGATTTATATTTTATAGTTAGATTTTTTTTTTATTCAAACATTTTACATTGATAGGATACATATATGCAGATTTTTTTTTTAATTGATTATTTAGATATTGTGTAAGGCAATGATTTTGTGAAATGTTATAATAACATTTTTATATGGGACAATACATGAAGTGTTGAATTTGCCATTTCATAACTGTCAGATATTTACATTTGTAGTACATCGCTACTATCGTGATGCAATTTTGTACATTTATCTTACTAATTTACCTGACCTTACCACAAAAATCACGAGAATGAAATTGCATCAACGATAGCACTATATTCCGTCTTTGCGTATTGCAGAGTTATCTTCTCTTGTGAGCAGGTATTGATTGTTACGTCATTTGTTTGTGAGAGTAACGTCATCAATTTTTGAGAAAACAACGTAATTTTCTCACACAAACCAAGCGACAGAAAATTTTAAAAAAATATTTTGGGATCTTCTTATCAGTCATTGATATTTGGCATATTTGCAAAAACATTGTCCTTAAAAATGACTTGATGTTAATTGAATTTAGAAAAAAAAAGTCTCATGTTTTGAAAATCCAAAATTGTGTGTTGTGGAAATTCTATCTTTCATAAATGCTCACCAACTGAGGCTTTGGGCATTTCATACTTCTGTGACATTTTCTATCAACACACAATATTTAATTGACACCATGCTTTGCTATAGAATGAAATCATTTATCTATTCACAGTCGTGGTAAGAAATTTATTATTTGCAACTTTTAAAAATCATAAAATGCCAGTCATGATGTTAATTACTTCTTCAGTTTTGTACATACTTCATAATTATTGAATACATTTTCATGCATTGGTCCCAATCCTGAAGAATGACTTATCACACACGAGGTTAGGCACATGCCACTAATGTTATGATACCTGGTGAACTTATTTCCCTGCTAAAATATAAGGTAATACAATTAGTATGTTAACACTAAAATAACACATATGGTAGCTATACATACCTGAGGTGCCATACGTATTAACCCGTTAGATGGATACATTCAAACTAATGAAAATAATCGAGTATGTTTCCTTGACAAACATCCTTATAATATTTGTTCAGGATACTTCAGAAACACTATCGACAATTGAGATAATGAAAAAATATGAGACAAGGCCAATGACAGAATTTTTATAAACAATTTTTGGGGGTATTTCAAAGTAATTAAGAATACCTAAGGTGTTATGATGAAATCAAGAAATTACATTTAAAAAATCATTTCACCATCTTAAGAAAAGATAAATTTATGAATGCATTTATAACATAAATGCATGTATGCAAATTAATATTTCTTGTTTTTATAATTAAGTGAAATATATTAATTTGGATGTATTGATTTTGAAATGACAAAAAATTGTTATATGAATTTTTTGTTAAAGAGTTACATGTTCAAATGAAAATTTCTTGCCAGAGGACAAATTATGACTTTTTTTTTTATAAGCGTGAATTAATAGTTGACATGATTGACTGTATTAACACATATATATATATATATATATACTGTGATATGACAAGGTTTTTGTGTACACTTCAATTTCCCATAATGTTTTTTGAGTTGATTTTCCTTTTTTTATTGATTTTCCTCTAACATATCTTAAATTACCTGAAATTTGAGACACAGCTGAAAATTTATCTAGCTCTTTTATTGGTAATGTATATTTCTTTTACCTAGACATTCAAATGAAATATTGTGTCCAATCTCAACGTCATCGGCTAAAAGTTGATATCTCATGACCGAGCCACAGATAATAATATACAAAACGCCAGCTGGAACATCGTATAATAACTTTACGGGATGTAAAAATACGTCAATCTGGATATCAAACAAAATAATTGCTTTGAAGAAAAGTAAATCAACATAGATTCCAATGGAAAAGTGATGTAACATAAAAGACAAAGCACATCACTGCAAATATGTATAATTGTACATATTTATTTAATTTTCATTTTTTTTCATATTTTCCTCGACAACGTATTTATCACAACTTCATCAAAGCAGATATTGAGCAAAGAAAGAGATAATGAAAGGGGTTTTGTACATCCTCGAAATTCCAGGGTTACGCTCTCTGTACCCCGGGAATATATCATGATGAAATCAAAGGATCATAATTATCGTATGGTACAGGTAGACTAAATAATTGTGCAGCAGCCTAACGGTAAAATTGACTGGCTTTGAAGTAGGGTGTCGCCCTTGTAATCTTCAAAGAGCAGGTATTGATCAGGCTTGCAATTGGTCACCTGAAATCAATCAAATAGTGAATGATGTGCCTTCAGATTTGTCACGACATATTGTAGAGGTGCAGAGAACAGTAGTGAGTGAACCCCTGGAATTCCGAGCATTGGTTCTAAGATTTTGACAATCAAATAAAAAAGGTGATATTGATTGAATGATTTTTTAAAGTTCAATTTTTTCAATTGATTCCTTTTTATTAACTTCCCTGTGATGTAAAATCACATTTGTCAGGAAATTGTTTTGAAAAAATGTAAAACTATTGTAGCCATTTCCAATAGGTTAATGCATGGTTTAATCAATCCTTGTTAATATTGTTATTCTCAGGTTGATAAACCTTGCATTGACTTCAACAAAAACTTTAATCGGATGTGCCCACAGGTCCTTTTGTTAGTTTTGTAGTGTATTATATATAACACAATTTTACATTTCTACACATTGAGTAACTACACAAATCTGTATAATATGATCATTTCTAAACATCTTTTATTTACAGCAATTTTTTTGCATTATATTCATTTACACTAGGTTCTCTATAATATGCTTATACATTTCCATGTATTTCTTTTTTAAGAATTATTCTATGCCTTTTAATTGCTTTGATATGTGCCGCTGTTTCCAATTAATTCAACCGTTCCTTATAAAGTGAATATATTAAATTATATTATATAGAAAGATACATATTCCGTCTTTTCGTATTGCAGAGTTATCTGCTCTTGTGAGCAGGTATTGATTGTTACGTCATTAGTTTGTGTGAGAAAATTCATCGTTTTCTCAAAAAATGATGACGTCACTCTCACAAACAAATGATGTAACAATCAATACCTGCTATCAAGAGCAGATAACTCTGCAGTATGAGAAGACGGAATAGAGGGATTAATAAGAAAATAAAGAAAAGTGAGCCTCAAATTATAACGGCGAAGAGTGGGGTGGCAGATGAAGTGAGGGGCAATATAAAGGGGATCCATTGTATAGGAAACATTCAAGACTTCTATTTTGTACAGCACTTCGAGCTAGTAGAAATGGGAACCATGGAAAATGGAAAATAGAAACAATGAATTTGTTTCAAAAACAAATCTTTAAAAAATATCTCCTTGCATACTGTCAGTCACTCTAATTGTTTGGGATTTATTTTTGCATTATATTGTGAAGAAGTTTTATTTACCAAAATCTTTGGAAATATTATTTCCAGATATATAGTTATTACCACATCGTCTTCAAAAGGAATTAAAGTATTTTCTAATTAAACCTAAGGTTCAGTGGACACACTTCAGTACACACAAAGATAAAGTGATATATACTGTAGACAAATCAGTGAACAGTGTCTCGTTTCCTACTTTTGTGTTCTTTAAAATTAAAATCTACTGTATTTTCTGTGAAAGTTGAAATGTTTGAAGCACTGTTTTACAAGTTTACATGTGTTTTTTGAGCTCAAATAGAATGTTAATTCATTGTTGAGAGAAAATAGATGTAGTCAACTCATTGCGATGTCTATACCTGGTATCAACAAGTGTCAATCATTTCCCAGCTGTGTGGGACCAATGTGGTATTTGCATGATGTTCTTTGTCGATGGACATGTGTATAGAAAACAGGATTGATTGATACTTTTTACATTTTTTGAAGGACCCCACTGTGAAATATAAATTTTACCAAATTTATGCTTCTAAAGGAATGTGAATAAGGAGTTGAATATGAGGCCTTGAATGTGAATAAGGAGTTGAATATGAGGCCTTGAATGTGAATAAGGAGTTGAATATGGGGCCTTGAATGTGAATAAGGAGTTGAATATGGGGCCTTGAATGTGAATAAGGAGTTGAATATGGGGCCTTGAATGTAAATATAAGGAGTTGAATATGATGCTTTGAATATTTCCTTTTAATGCTCGTAATTTGTTCATAAAATGCCTTTTCTATGTTGTTTACTTATATACCTAGATAATGTTCAGGTTTGGTTGCGGAGGGGAAGGGGGAGAGAAAACACATGTTATTCTTACTTTAGTTGTCGTTTTATTTGTGCAATGCTCATGTTTTCGGCCTTGCATTGAATTTGCATATTTTAGTTCAACCCATTTTGTTCAGTTCTTACTATATAATTATGTGATCGATATTTATACAAAGTTTACGTCACATCCACACCGTCCACTTTTACTTAAAATGTACGTAATTATTTGGAATATAATTTTAGATTCCCAATTAAAAATAAAATATTTAAAGAATTGATGTATTGGGTATTTGTTTTTTGGATACATTACCATTCATTCCTCGTTGTTGATTTAATGTACACGTAGATGTGCATGCACAAAGTTTTTTGTGTTTTATAATTCCTTCCTTAAGTGTATATGGTAACTTAATACTGTATGAACCTCTTATAAAAACAGTTCTCCACTTTGATTATATACACAAGAATATGTGCAAAGACAACATCCGGGTGATTCTCATATCTGATAATTTATACCTAAATTGTTTTATAGCACGCCAAAATCTGAGTTATAATATATTGTCACCAAGCCGTTTGTCTCAGCGTACATGTAACGTTGTGTCAGCTATTAGTTCAACAATTTTCAAAAAAATAAATAAAGTTTGATGTGTGAATCGCGGAATAGTTACAACCTTTTATTCACTGCTGTATTCCGTCTTTGCGTATTGCAAAGTTATCTTCTCTTGTGAGCAGGTATTAATTGTTAAATTACGTCCTTGGTTTGTGTGAGAAAATTACGTGGTTTTCTCAAAAATTGATGACGTTACTCTCACAAACAAATGACGTAACACTCAATACCTGCTCACAAGAGACGATAACTCTGCAATACGCAAAGACGGAATACAATTAATGACACATTTTTTGTTTAAACTGGCGAAGGGAGGCAACCCATATAAACCGGAGATGGATCAGCATCCTAGCTAGTACACACATTTAATTTTAAATGACAAGCTTTTAAATAACTTGCAGTTAAAACTTTAACGTTGATGTGCTTCAAAAACGATAAGTACAAAACAGGTTGAAAATTTCAAAAGTTTGTGAAATTATTTATCAATTTTAACTTCACTACATTAATAAGTTACCCCACAGGAACCTCCATGCTAAATAAGAGTATACTAGTACACAAATGTAATGAATGACCAGCTTCTAAATAACTTGCAGGTAGAACTCGAACATGTTCACGCTCACGCCGGGGGTAACGCTAGAGCTATAGCTCTCTGTTCTTCGAACAGGCGAACTAAAAAGAACATGCCCCCTATCCATCGACAATGAAGTGTAAAATGCGTGTTCCAATTTCAACGCTTCTTCATTAAAAAAGAGTAGCGCATAGATTCACGAGATTACCACATGCATCCCATTGAGAGTTTCCTGATGGAGAGAAGATTCTTACATACATTTATTCATGGAGCACGAAACACTGAGCGATCATGAATGGAGAGTAGCTAGACTATGGGAGATGCATACACGACGCAGAATATAAGTATAGTGATGATGCATGTATCAGCATTTATTACAATTTCTTATAACAGTGCTAGCCCGTAAATATTCTAACAGAAGCCAGTATATGGTAAAACACTTCTTCTTCTTCTTTCTTTCTCTTGATTTCTTTGCTTATACTGCATGTAACTCAATTTCGATCAATGACGGACCGGAACCTATGTCAATTTTACAAACATTTGTATATGGCCATACGTGTTTAAGCAATACGTATAAATGCCTCGCTATATGTGCCTTTTCGGAAACATAAACCTGAATAGGTTGCATCCCTTTTTAAGCAATAGCAGGCAATATAGACGAAACTTAATTAACAATTACTTATTATGTCCTGCACAATATAGAGGCGTACAACTGTGAGTGTCATGAGTGCCTTTTCGGAACATTTAAACGCGACTAGGTTACATCCCTATTTATCTTGGAGCCGTATAGAGGGTAATAAAGATGTAACTAAATTAACAACTTCGTATAGGTCCTGCGCAATTTAAGGTAGAGGCTTACAACTAGATGAGAACATTATCACTGAAGATGTTGCATCCTGTCTATAGTTGTATACCGGATAGTCCGAATTATTCTGACGTTTTAACGAATTTTCTCATATCGGTCTGTAGTCGATTAACGTCAGAACTCCGGCCCTATAATATGCGGGAAATATGCGACCCGCGCCCGGAGCGCACTTCAGACTGATATTTTAGAAACAAATCGTCTCTTTCACACACATGTCGCACATGGATCGAAAGATCTATTCTTATGCACTAGGTGGTATCAATAGGATGTTTCAAAGATCATTACGAAAAGCATTTTCCAACGTTTTCTATACCAACCCAACCCATGTTTTTTTTATGGAAATAAGGCCATGAGAAATGTCACATGACTTGACGAGATCTCGTGTTACCGAAGGTATTTCCCAACGTTATGACGTAGGCCGGCGAGATTTTAGTCACGTGGCATTGGAAGGCGGGGCTATCCAAAAACTAGAGTAAAACAGAGTAAGTTTGAAAAAATATGTTTTTAGTGATTGTATTAGTTGTTTAAGGCATGTTATGTATGTTCATCTTGTGCATAAGGAATAGATATTTCGATCCATGTGCGACATGTGTGTGAAAGTGACGATTTGTTTCTAAAATATCAGTTTGAAGTGCGCTCCGGGCGCGGGCCGCATATTTCCCGAATATTATAGAGGGCCGGAGTTCTGACGTTAATCGACGACAGACCGATATGAAAAAAGTCGATAAAACGTCAGAATAATTCGGACTGTATACCGGAGTGCAGCCCTGGTGGAGAGTAGCGACACTCAGCCGCGAACCAATCCATCGTTAGTAAAATGAAAGTTATTATGACGTCATAATAAACTGCATGACATTATGACGTCACAATGAGAATCGGAAGTCCGAGTTGTAGTCATGACAAGATGTCGAGCGGTCGGCATGTAAAACTCCCTGCTTTGAGAATTCCGTCTGAACCTCCTAAATTCAAGTTTCGGAAACGAAAGATTACTGTCAAGCCTATAGGCGATAGAGGACCGCCACCTTCTATAACTAGCTGTGATAAAATTGTCGATCAGGAGCCACAAGTGGAGCCGCAGGTTGTTCCGGAAGACAAATTACAAGTCGATCAATTAACACACCAGCATGAACGGTATTTACCGCCCATACACAAAGAACCAATAGATTCGAAGATCCCCGGTCTGTATGGAGCTTATTATTCGCAGTGTGTCTGTGAGAAGAAATCGAACCCCGATCCCCTGAATGCAGCACCTCCAGATATTAATGGAGCAGTTGGGAAAATGTCAGCAACTGAGCTTCTTGGCGGTAAGTTCGAACAACCGGTTAAGTACAAACATTTTGCGTACGGAGGTAATGACTGGTTACACCTTCTCGTAACGGGCCAACTTCCGCCTGAAGTTTTACAGGCATTTATGAGCAAATTTTGCAGAGCGGGAAAAACACTGAAAGCACATGGGCCCCAGGCCGACAAATATTTCTATTATCAAGGTGGACGACAGCGCACAAAACCACTATGGGAGCCCAAGCAGATGAAATTACAGCAAGTGTATAGCCAGTTTGATAGAAAACAACTGGAAGCCAGCTGTCGCCAGAAAAAGAACATGTTAAAGTTGTCGAAGAAAGCGGAACTCATGGCAAAACACAATGAAACCGTGTTGTTAAAAAAGGTGGACAGAATGGATAGTCGTCTCAAATCTTACCTCGATAAAATGGACAAAAACATCTCAAAAGCTCATACAGATAAAAACTCTAATGGAAATATGGCAAATTCTTTCTGTAAAAACGATTCAGTGTCACATAGTTGCGATACCAACCTGAAATCCTCCTATCCAAAAAACCCGGACATGGTGAAGCTTCCTGCCGTAATTGCCTGGGTGAAAACAGCGCTCAGTAATTTGCTTTCTGAAAATAACCTTGATTCCGATAGTTCTTCAACCGGAAATCAAGCGGCTGAGGAAACCAATAATTCAGAATAAACTTCATGTATTCTTTGAAGTTATGTATTTTTTTTACTATATAGATAAAGTGATATTACCTTTTTATAATGTATATTTGTTAAGTGAGTTAATAAACAAATGGTTGTCGTATAAATGAGGTGATATTCCCCAGACATTTGCCTGATGTATTCTATTGTACTAGATTTGAAATTGTTACTTTTTTTGAATAATTTCAATAAAAAAAACATGTAAACAAAAACAAAAAAATAAAGATATCATTTAGTTTTATGGCGTGTCAAACGTTGCAACTAAGGTTTGAAATGCATCTTTTTAACATTTATGAGGGTATGTAAAAAGTTCCGTTCAAACATATTCCATGATGCACGTTACTTAAATTTCTTTAAACAGGATGATTTCTTGTTAATAATATCAAAAAAAAGGAGTATTAAAATGTATTTACATGTATTTTAACCGTTGATAAACAATCTCGTTTTGTTGGGGGGGGGGGGGTTACTGTTGAGTTGGTACTGTTATCTATCTAGAGGCACTGCAACACAAATGAAGATATAATTTTTTATTTATTGCACTTATATATATTGAATACAAATATAAAATTTCGAACATAAATTTAAGATTATTGAATATTGCAACGTTTGACACACCATATAGTTTAGTATCTTTGTTCTGTGTATTCGACAGGAAACCCTTTTGATTTACTAATTGTTTGGGTTTTTTTCCTGGAGAGCCGGATACTTTTCGAGGGTTTATGGTGTCTTCCCTTTTGTTTCGGTGTCCATTGATAACATGATGGTAATGTGAACTATTTACTCGCCTTTCCGTTACACCTGCTTTTGTGTCCGGATTTTAAAGGAAGTTTATGCGTTCCTGTTGTCTCGAAATTGAGTTAATGATATTCCTATGTTACTCATCGGGATAATGAAACTACAGGTCTTCTTCCCTCTGTGTTACATATCCGACGGAAAATGAGAATTAAAACTGTTGAAACCTATTTCATCTTATGACGAATTCGCTTTCCAAATCATCGCTTTCCACGCTCTAACACCCGATGCAACAAGAGTGTTTCCTTTAAGCTGATAGAACTTAATTGTTTTGAAATTGTTGTTAAGTTTAATGATTTTAGAATAGTGACATATAAGTCTATGGGCTGGAGGTTTTTATAATCTCGCCCGATCATTCGAAAAGGATAATTTTACAAATCAAAAAAATGTGTATATACAACTTTTTGTTCAATTATTATAACTACACAATTTCATAAAGCACATTGAGAAGATAAAACAAAATTACTTTAAATACGTTGTGAATAACACTTGTCGTGTGTACACTGTAGTTGTTTAGATATTGCATAGAGCTATATAGTGTAAGGACTTGATGTATTAACTTGTTGGCAACGTGGAGAGAGGGAAAACAGGAAAAAAAGCCTTTCCTAAAATCAACTTTTTTAGAATTATTCATTTTCAGTTTTGGGCTATGAAAGGGCCGAAATTCAATTTGGCACGGTTTGGTTGGCGTCATGTTACAAACGATGTTATAAACTACCCTCAGTGGTTATATATTATTGTTTTATTGTTCTTATGAAAACACACAATATTTGTTGAAATTTGTCCGAATTTATTTCCTTATAAACTGTTTAATTAGACCAGAAACCGACTTTTTGGGATTTGTTTTACAAATACATAATGCTTCTGAAATATTTAACTTTTGTTATTATTTAACTTGTTATATAATGAATTTAGAAGAAAAATCCCTGTTTCTGCCAGTGTCGGGTGTGTCGGAAATATAAAATCTCCAATATATGCAAGACATTGCTAAGGAGCTACGTCTGTAAGAGTGAAACAAGTACTAGTGACATTGTTCTGAAAATCCGGACTTGTTTATGTATTGCTACTGTATCTATCAAATGTCTGTCGATGTCCTTTAACCGACATTGTTTTATATGTTCCATCGAATGGCATTGCCACTATATAACCCTACCAAATTCAGTTGGCATTCATATAGGCTATGAATGCCGTGGACCGATTGTTGGCGTCATCATTAGTATGACGTCAAAATTGTTCCGTTGGATACTACTGACCATCCCCGGCGAGGGCTGTTCTATTCATTGAACAAGCATACATGATACATACAGTATTTGAACTAAATGCTGGCTAATGATAAGTGTAATTGATTTTTTTATGAGATGAACAGATTCCAAAAATGGTTAATATAAGTATTGAACTGCTTTCAATTGTCATTCATGGGCAATATGAATTCCAACTGGAAAAAGGCAAATCCAACATGAAGCGCTAGCGCCCTTCATTGAATTTGCCTTTGTCCAGTTGGCATTTATATTGCCTAAGAATGTCAACTGAAAGCAGTTCAATGCTTTAATAAAGAAAATCATTACTGCTTTTGAATATAATATTAACGTGACAAATATAATTTCGTTCACGCAGGTTGTTAATTAAATCTACTTTTAATCGAACATAAATATTATATTTATAATTACATGTACCTGAATACGTAAAAGTGATTAAGTACTACGGTCTGATAATTACTTTTTACTCGCAGTTACAGATTCATGGTTGTATGTTCGTCCGTCCGTCCGTCCGTTCGTCCGTCGTCCGTCCGCCCGTCAGTCACATTCTATAACAATGTTAACTAACCGGCCGCCTTTACTACTACAATGGATGTTTTTATTTTGGGGAAAATTGACCATATAAGATAAATTAAAGCACATTGAAAAGATAAAGCAAACTGAGTGTGAATACGTTGTAAATTACACTATTCATGTTTACACTGTATAGTTTAGATATTGCACAGATCTATAGTGTTAGAACTGGATACAAGGGACAGTAAAAAGGACAGTATTTTTTGTTGGGGAAAATTAATTCAGATTAGGTAAATGAAATGTGTTCATACCGTTAAAACCCTCGATCAGCAGCCAGTCTGCACTGTATTTATCGAATGACATGTACTGCACTGTATTTATCGAATGACATGTGCTGCCCTGTATTTATCAATGACATGTGCTGCACTGTATTTATCGAATGACATGTGCTGCACAGTATTTATCAATGACATGTACTGCACTGTATTTATCAATTACATGTACTGCACTGTATTTATCGAATGACATGTTCTGCACTGTATTTATCGAATGACATGTGCTGCACAGGATTTATCAATGACATGTACTGCACTGTATTAATCAATGACATGTGCTGCACTGTATTTATCAATGACATGTACTGCACTGTGTTTATCAATGACATGTACTGCACTGTATTTATCAATTACATGTACTGCACTGTATTTATCAATGACATGTACTGCACTGTGTTTATCAATGACATGTACTGCACTGTATTTATCGAATGACATGTACTGCACTGTATTTATCGAATGACATGTGCTGCCCTGTATTTATCAATGACATGTGCTGCACTGTATTGATCGAATGACATGTGCTGCACAGTATTTATCAATGACATGCACTGCACTGTATTAATCGAATGACATGTACTGCACTGTATTTATCAATGACATGTACTGCACTGTATGTATCAATGACATGTACTGCACTGTATTTATCAAATGACATGTGCTGCACTGAATTTGTCAATGACATGTGCTGCACTGTATTTATCGAATGACATGTGCCGCACTGTATTTATCGAATGACATGTGCTGCACTGTATTTATCGATGACATGTACTGCACTGTATTTATCAATGACATGTACTGCACTGTATTAATCAATGACATGTGCTGCACTGTATTTATCAATGACATGTACTGCACTGTGTTTATCAATGACATGTACTGCACTGTATTTATCGAATGACATGTGCTGCACAGTATTTATCAATGACATGTACTGCACTGTATTAATCGAATGACATGTACTGCACTGTATTTATCGAATGACATGTGCTGCACTGAATTTGTCAATGACATGTGCTGCACTGTATTTATCGAATGACATGTACTGCACTGTATTTATCGAATGACATGTGCTGCACAGTATTTATCAATGACATGGACTGCACTGTATTAATCGAATGACATGTACTGCACAGTATTTATCGAATGACATGTGCTGCACTGCATTTATCGAATGACATGTGCTGCACTGCATTTATCGAATGACATGTGCTGCACAGTATTTATCAATGACATGGACTGCACTGTATTAATCGAATGACATGTGCTGCACTGTACTTATCGAATGACATGTGCTGCACTGTATTTATCGAATGACATGTGCACCAAAGCTGATATAAATGGTTCTGCCAAAAGAAAACATGTTATATTACAAATGAGTGAATGGCCAACCCTGTCGAAATATTTTGAAAAGTTTATTATAAAGACACCGGTTTGCTTCCTTTTATCTAAATTAGAGGTGGCATCATTTATAAATTTTATCATTTCGATTTCACATGACACAAACCCCTGGAAGCCATGTTGGTGAGGATAAACAGGATGCTATATCGGTCTACGTGGTTCATAATGATACTAACCATTAGATGTTTTAGGTAATAAAAATGAATGCTATGTATTCTCAATCAGGATTTATATAGTTTTATGCATTTTGAGCCAATTTCATCTGCTTCCTTTTTAAACATTGCTCATAAACTCAATTGAAATACAAGATCTACTAGAAAAATATGCAATCGAAAATGCAGAATAACGAACGCTTATGAAGTTATATGGTCGTTCGAAAAACGTTTTAAAACGCTATTTATAGATCTGTGACCTTGACCTTTAATTTTATGACCATGATTTTGTTCGGAGGTCAAGAGATCGTTGTCCTTTATCATGTTCTGAAATGTGAACGTTAGATCTAGATCTTTGTTCGTTGTTGAGATAAAGTGATAACAAGATTTCTGGAAATAAGAATAATTATAAGAATAATAATAAGAAGAAAAAACATAACAATAACAAAAAGTATTTCCATCCAAAATGGAAATCCCTAATTAAAACACGGAGTGGCTATTGACACTCAGGCTAGATAAGCAAAAAACGGTATATCGGATTCCGGAACGTTTTCATGTGGAAATAGTAATTGTGAGTAGGCGGTTGTGCATATCCGGATAGGACTAAGAACGATGAATGTAAGCGTTGTTCAACAATAAAAATAAGTGAATGGATTATTGACTAAATTTAACAATGTGTATCAGTATATACACTTAATTGTCTTGGAAGTCTGCTAATGTTAATGCTCTATATAAAGGTAAAGGAGCTATTGATAATCCAAAT